ATCTCTAACTTTTATCCCTTTCCAAGTGGTTTGCAGTAGTAGCTGGGTACCATCTAGTTCTTCTGGTCTCAGGGTCAAGGAGGCTGAGATTCCCATGATCCGTTTGTCCCTTGGATTAATTGCTTCCAGGCATGTTTGATTTTGTTCACTCTTCTTTGTTCTGGATGAAGAGAGAGCAGTAGTTGCATTTAAGATGGCTGCTAACAAGCTTTTAAGAGCCCAGTTACCACTCACCAAAATAGAATGTAGAATGTTTTTGTGTAGTGTGTTTTGCCAATTGAATTTGATGTCTCTTGTGACTGTGGTCACAAGCCTGCAGGCCCAGCAACTCCCTCAGGGTTTTTGGTCGTGGCTTAGAAGTTGTAAGTTTGTCCCCATTCGCTTTAATGTTTATATATATATATATATGTGTATGTGTATATATATATACATATATATTTTATGTATTTATATATGTGTGTGTGTGTATACATATGCACACACACACACATATCTGGCAGACCTATATATGGTCATGGGTATATTCCTGTTCACCTACCCATATTTGATCTTGCTTGTCTACCTATTTATCCGTCCATACATTAATGTTTGTTATTACTGATAATGCAGTATTGTGTATGTAAGACATTTGGCTGCTAACCAGAAGGCTGGCATTTCAGACCCACCAGCTGTTCCATGATAGGAAGATGAGGCAATCTACTTCTGTAAAGATATACAGCCTTGGAAACTCAATGGGGGTCACTATGAGTCGAAATGGACTTGATAGCAGTGGGTTTTTTTTTTTTCTTTCTTTTTTAGTTTTGTTTCCTGTACCTTTTGTGTACCTTTCTGTGTCCTCCTTTTCCTTAGTGATACTGTTCTGGTCACCTACTTTTGGTATATTGCCTTTCCCTTCACCCAGATCAGTATGTGTCTCTTACCTAGCTAGCATTTTCTGTCTTCTCTCCTCCCATCCATGGTAACCAACAAAGAAAGTTTCATTGTGTGTGTAGTCCTTTCCTTGACTTTTTATAATAGTGGACTCATACAGTATTTGTCCTTCTGTGGATTGGCTTTGTTGACTCAGCATAATGTCCACCAAGTTCATGCATGTTACGAGTTGTTTCATGGGTTCTTCGTTATTCTTCAATATTGCATAGTATTCTATCATGTGTATATATCATAGTTTGGTTATCTATTCATCTGTTGATGGACACTTAAGTTGTTTCCCTCTCTTTGCTATTATGATGCTACAATTAACATGGGTGTGCATATAGCTATTTGTGTCCCAGTTCTCATTTCTTTAGGATACCTAGTAGTGGGATTGCTGGGTCAAATGGTCTATTTCCAACTTTTTAATGAAGCACCATACTATTTTCCACAGTGGTTGTACCATTTTATGGTCTCATGAGCAGTGTATGAAAGTTCCAATCTCTCCACATCCTTGCCAGCATTTGTTGTGTCCTGTCTTCTTGAACTTTGGTAATATTGCTGGGGTGAGACAGTACCTCTGTTGTTTTAATTAGTATCTCGCTTATCTTTTTTGTGTGTGCATCTTTGGTTATGTTTGGTAGCGTCTATGCCATAAATAAGGACCCCTCCATTTGCCTCTATTTTGTCTTTGATGAACTTTATAATTTTAGGTTTTACATTTAGGTCTTTGATCCATCTTGAGTTCGTTTTTGTGCATGCTATGAGGTATGGATCTTGTTTTATTTTTCTGCAGATGGGTATCCAGTTGTGCTAGCACTATTTGTTAAAGAGACTGTCTCTTATCCATGTAATACATTTTGGCCTTTGCAAAGATTACTTGTCCATAGATAGATGGATCTATTTCTGGGCTCTCAATTCTGTTCCACTGGTCTGTGTGTCAGTCATTGTACCAATACTAGATTGATTTGACTATTGTGACTGTATAGTAGGTTTTATCAGGAAGTGTGAGACTTCCCACTTTGTTGTTCTTCTTAAGTAGTCTTTTCTTGGCTTTTGTGTAAATGTAATTCTTCTGTCTCTGATCTTTTGTTTTTGAGGCTCATTCTTTTTTTTTTCTTTTTAGTGTGATTTGGGTGAAAATTTACAGAGCAAATTCACTTTCTATGCAGCAGTTCACATACACTGTCTCATGATATTGACCACAGTTTACCACAATGCAACAGCTCCCCTCCCGCTTCCTCCCCATAGTTACCTCTTCCCAGTGTCCATCCTTCCATGCACTCCTGCCCCCTGAGCTGTCTCCCTGTGCATAAGCAGCCCTTCTTTCTCCCATGATTGTTCTCTCCAAGGAGTGTATCTACCTGAGGTAAATGTTCAACTCATTTGAGGCTCATTCTTGTTTTTGTATGAATCAATAGTTCCTTCCTTTTTTGGTGAGTAGCATTGCATTGTGCCCTGGTGGCGTAGTAGGAGCTCTGGTGGCTTAGTGCCTCAGGCATTTGACTGCTAACCAGAAGGCTGGCGGTTCAAACCCACCAGCCTCTCTTAGGAAGGAAGATTAGTCAATCTACTTCTGTAGTGAATACCACCTTGGAAATCCAAGGGGGGGGTCGCTATGAGTTGGATCTGACTTGACGGCAGTGAGTTTGGTTTTTTGGTTTATTGCATTGTGTTGAATGTAATGCAGTTTATATTTTTTATTTTACTGTTGACGGTTACTGTGACTTAAGAGTGGAATCACTGGGACGTAATATCCTGTAAGGTATTTTTTTTAAATACTCAGAATGTTTCTTGAATTGTCTTTAGAACAGCAAACTTCTCACTGCATTCCACTTCTCTTTTTCATTGATGTTTTTGTAGAGTCTAGGCTAGTTTCCTTATCTGGATTTGGCAAGAATACCGTGTGGGTGGTATATATTTCCCATTGCATCTTGCTGAGTAGCCAGATTTGTCCCATTGTTAATCCTAAATTTGCTTATTTCTTATGATCATGTCTTCCAGATTTCTCTATTGTAAAATACTTTTCTCCTTTAAAATGCATATACTTACAGGTAATATTTTATAAAGCTCTGTGATGAATATCCTGTTCTTCACCACCCTTCCCTATTGGTATTAAGTCATTGATAATCCTAACCTAATTGAATTACTGAATTGGTGGTTGCATAAGTGGAGGATTTTCTCATTGTTTTATTACTTTTACATTTATTAGCTGGCACTCTTTTATAAAGAACAAGTTTCCCTTTCCTCAGTTCTTCCTTCCCCCTTTTAAATTTGGTGTATTATAATCCTTTACCATAATTATATTTGATGCTCAAACTCAAATTTGGTAGGTGGAACCTCTTTCTAGCCAGTGCTTGTATTTTGGTTTGTATCTATGTTTTCTGTCACAAGATACTCATCAACTTCATCTTGTGCTTTTCCTGCTTTAGCTCTTTAATATACCCTTTCTACAAGGGACTTTTCTTTTCAGTAGGGAATGTTAGATAGCAAGATCTGGATGCTAAGTGTACTCTTAACTACTGGGGTATTATTGCTTACTGGTCCTTCAGTGGACAAAAGTAGAAAATATGTGTTTGGAAAACAAACACACAAACAGATGTCATCATTTCTAAGCTAATGACATAATATTCTTTCTTATCTTCCTCTGTCCTATATTTCAGATTCCTTTTCTTGCGGTGAAGATCCTGATTCTCATGAAAGGAGTTTGTTTTTGAATAAATTTTAATCCGTTTCAAAGTCATGTCTAATAGAAAATATAAGTTGAGAGTTAAGTACTATACTAATATTAAGGGCATACAAATGTGAAGTTCTTAAAGTAACACGTAGTGTGTTCTTGAATTAAAATATACTCACTGCCATTGACTTGATTCTGGCTCATAGCAACCCTATAGAACAGAAGAAAGCTGCCACATTGTATTTCCTAGGCTATAAATCTTAATAGGATCAGACTGCCTCATCTTTCTCGTAGAGCAGCTGGTAGATTTGAACTGCCAACCTTTTGGTTAGCAGCCTTAACCACTGAGCCACCAGGGCTCCTTGAATTAAAACATAATGATTTTAATTTTTAAAAGTTAATAATGGTGTATGTTAAGAGTTTTATGTTACACATTTTGCATTTATTCTTATTTAATTCTTAAAAGGTGAGAGAACCCTTGAATTTTAGTTAGAATTCAGATAAGGCTTTAATTTTTATTTTGAAGAAATTCTGGTTTTATTTTATCCTTGAGTTACATCACAGTTATTTGTGAGAGGCACTATAGCTTAATGGCTGACAGTTTTAGTGGTAGACAGATCATGATTTTGAGTCTTGATGCTGCCTCATATTTATTAGATCTGTGATCTTTGTCACGTTATTTTTTTAACCTTAGTTTTCTCATCTATGAATTGAAGGTAACACTTACTTTACAAGTTATCGAGAAGAATTGTGTGTGTGTGTGTGTGTGTAATTCTCACTCAATAAATAGTGATTATTAGTGCAGTAAAATGCCTGAATTTTCTTTAGTGCTTATTATAAGGGAAAAGAGAAGGAAATATGAAAATGAAGAATAAAAATGACCCACTTTTTGCCATCAAGTCGATTCTGACTCATAGCAACGTGATAAGGCAAAGTAGAATTGCCCCATAGGGTTTCCAAGGCTATAAATCTTTACAGAAGAGTGCGTCATTTTTCTCCTGTGGAATGCCTGGTGGATTTAAACCACCAACTTTTTGATTAGCAGATGAATGTTTTAACTACTGGCAGTAAAATTTAATTGAAAGGAAAAGTAGTTTGCTTCTTGTGATACCAAAACAAAACAAAACAAAACTCACTGCTGTCAAGTCGGATGTGGCTCATAGCTACCCCTCATTGGGTTTCCAAGGAGGTATCACTACGGGAGTAGATTGTCCAACTTTCCTTCTGAGGAGTGGCTGGTGGGTTTAAACCACTTACTGTTTATGGCTAGCAGTTAGATGCCTTAGTCACTATGCTACCAGAGCTCCTTCTTGTGATACAGTAATCTTTAAATGACTAATGTATTTCAAAGTAGAGAATATTAGCAATGGAAGATTTTAAGTTCTTTCGTAGCTCAAAAATTCCTATTTATTAGGCATTGAAAGATAGCACAGAAGTGGAAATTGTGGATGAGAAGATGAGAAAAAAGGTAGAGCCAGAAAAATGGCCAATTCCTGGTCCTCCTCCACGTAGTGTGCCACAGACAGACTTCTCTCAATTGATTGATTGCCCGGAGTTTGTACCAGGCCAAGCCTTTGGCTCACATACAGGTAACAGCTTTTCTTTCTTCTAAGCAACCATTGTAACAGTTGGCAATGCTATTTGCTCCAATTTACATATCTTTTTTTAGTTCACTTGGATTGAGTAGGGAGAGTAAAGTTTCCTAAGTGACTTTTCATGCTCTAAATTCTATTCATGTTGCTTCTTACACAGAGCTATAAGTTAAATATAGAGCTAAGAATTATAGATGATGCTCTGTTTTATTTATTGTTCTTAAATTATTTGTGTACTTTTTCTAACCATTTCCTTTTAATTTTATTAAATAATTGGACATATTGTACCAGTCTGCTTGTAAGATTGGTAGATGTTTATGCTTAAAACAAAAGTCTTATACTCAGGAATGGGATAGACTTCCTTTAATTTTGTTACTAATGTATCTCAGCCTTGTTTTGAAAAGATGGGTTACCTACAGTCTAAAAGAGAATTGGGGTTCTCTTAAAAAATTACTATAATTATGGATTAAAAAAATGCTTTTGTTTAGAATTTCCAGAATCTGCTTTAATGTTAAGATTTTTTTTTTTCCTGGATCATTTTTAAGACATTCCCTCTTGGGAAAAAAAATATGTGTGCTTAAACTTTTTTCAGTCAGGGTGATGATCTACTGATGCTCTTGGATGTCACTTGATCGGAATATGCAGTGGAATAGGTGAATCACTGAAATGTCAATAAAAATATTGGAAGAAGTCATGCTGCAGAAATGAAAGCCACCAGGACTGTCTTCTGTGGGAGAATGTCTACTCCAGCTCCTTGGGAAGGAGGTTGGGCCTGCACTACAGTGGAGATAACTACGGTTGTGATGATGATGACAGACAGACCAGAGGACTGCTATTGTTTTTATAGGAGCTGCCCATTTGTATGTAATTGGCCTGGGCTGCATGGGCTAACTTTCATTCATGGTGGGAAAGTTAATTATTATAATACTGGAAATATTACAAGATTTTGTCTTTTCCTTCCAGAGTTGTGTACATCAGTAATACAGAAATAGACTTGAATGGCATTTCCTTGATTATTAGGTCTTTTGTTGTTTGATTTGTCCTTCAATATAGTATATATTGCGTAACGCACATTGTCATGATATTTCATGTGGACTGTAATAATTATTAAATGTGCATATTAAGGGACAAGAAACTTAAGAAATGAGCAAGAGTACATTTTTCTTTGTTTGTCCAATGTATTTTTATTATATCAGTTTAGGAGTCTGACCATCAATAAAGCATTAATGATAGACAGTTTCAAAAGATTTTTTAATCTCCTTTTTCTTTGTTAGTCATCTGTGCTTCCAATCCTAGCAGGCAACTTAGGCAGGTGTTTTAAAAATTGCTGAAAACTAATGTGTTTCTTTTTTTTTTTTTTAAGTGTACAATGGCTGATTATACAAGTGAGATTTATTTATTGTGTAAACTTGGGTCCAAGATGACATTTTTAACTTGCTTATGAACAGGCATTTGGTAAATTAGATAAAATGGAAAATTCTTTTTCCACAAGATAGCTAAGTTAGTTCAGTCAGGTTGATGATACCTGTGCATTAACCATTTATGCATTGTTAATAAAATTATTAAAAGAATATCATAATGCCTTTTCCTTTTTGTTTTTAATATATGCTCAAATGCATGCATATACATATTGGCAGAAACAAGCCAATATTTTTATAAGAAACTACTAAATCCAGTGAAGAGTCATCAAAAATTTGAAAAGAAAATAAGGGATAGGCAGACCAGACTATCTTTACATGAACTTATGGGTAGAGAAAAGTAAGGAAACTTTTATCTGTACCCCTTTTATCTTAAATTAGAAGACTCAAATTTTTAAAAACAAATACTGAAGGGGGTTTGCATGGTAAAATACTCCTAATATTTTGGTTGTAGTGCCTAAGGCATTTGACTGCTAACCAGAAGGCTGGTGGTTCAAACCCACCAGACACTCCTTGAAAAGGCAGACTGGACAATGTACTTCTGTAGAGGTACCGCCTCAGAAACCCAAGGAGGGATCGCTATGAGTTGGAATCGACTCAATAGCAGTGTTTGGTTTTGGTTTCATCAGAGAAATAAATAGTCTATTTTCTTCTAAATGGGTGTTGAATTGTCTAACATAGGTTAAACCTTTGGACTGAGCAGAGGGCCCTAATGCCATAGAAAAACTTGATGAGGATAAATAGTAAAGATGTTACTTTTGAAATTTAGGTTTTGCATTGCTGTGCACATAGCATTGTAATATCAATACTAATTAAATAAAAAGGATTTCATTTACAAAAATTGAGAGATCGGGTACCTGGCAATCTTACAGGTTTGTTTTTGTTTTTGTTTCTAATGTTTGTGAGAATCCCTAATCATCGAATACTAGGATTTCCTTTGAAATATGTAGAAGTACTCTTGAAAGTGCCACATGTAAGATACATATTTTTTTTTAAAGAAACCTGTGTAATTACCCAGAACTGTGATTCCTCTAGGGTGGATTAAAGAAAAAAAGTCATACCAAATAGATGATATGGACTATATGTGGTGATTTATCTTTGGAGAACCAAATTACAATTTTAATGCATAAAAGCAGTGAAGATAAATATTTTCAGTTATATTTTCACAAATTGTAACAAGTGTTAAAGTATGTTTCTAAATAATTTTTTGTCTGTAAATAAGCTTAATGTCACAATAATCCAAGTCATCCTATTTGAGCTCATTTTGCCATGGAAAGTTAGGGGTTTACCATTATGCTTAAGCTTTAACAATGTAGTTTGAAAAAATTTCTTTCATTGTAAAAGAAAACACAGAACCACCCCTCAGAGCATACATATTGCTTAATTATTATAAGTTGAACATTTTTAAAAAATCTTAATTATTCTAAAACTGTTCTAAATTTTATTTTCTTAGCCAAAGTCTTTGAAAGAGCTATTTAATGTCATGTTTTCTGAGTAAAAGTGTTTTGATTATAGTAAAATAAAATAACATCATGGTAAAAGAGTAACTCATCTGCATATGGAATTTAACAAATTCTAGTAGTCTTAATAAGTACAAAACATAAAATTTATTTTAGTAATAAGTTTAAATTCAGTGTGACAAAATATCATTATAGTACAATAATCATTATAAAATTTGACATAGTTGACTTTTTTTGTAATCAGGAATATTTTTTACACATCACCGAACCAACCACATTTCAAGGGCTACTATTGTGTTGGAAAGCACACTTCTAGAACTTTATATCAACAAATACCTCTTTTTAAAATGATACAGTAAATTTTTAGACACAAATCTAATTGTTGAGTCCTGAAACTGATAGAAGGTCCATGGGGGGAGATCCATCTTATATTAGCATATAGTGGATGAAAGTAAAATCTTGGAATAAAACCCAAATTCTGGGAATACATCTTTGCATTTTCATTTAGTAAATAAAAAGACTGCTAGTGCTAATTTATTTTAGTTTTTTGCATGTGACATCTTTGCAGTACTTTCCGGGAATTGACTTCATTATCAGGAGAAGATGTTATAAACCCGACTCATAGCGACCCCTCCTTGGGTTTCCAAGGCAGTAACACTGTGGAAGTAGATTGCCTAACTTTCCTTCTGAGGAGTGGCTGTACGTTTGAACCACCGGCCTTGTGGTTAGCAGTCAAATGCTTAGGCACTATGCTAACAGAGCTCCTTAGAATCCTATAATATGAATTATTTCTAAAAATCCTATAGTATGATTTGTTTCTAAAACATTTTTATTCAAAGTTAAGTCCATGTTGCATCTTCAGGCTGGAAGATCAACATAAAATTTAAAATATATCTGGTCAAAATATTCTTTGCCTTTTGAAAATATACATATGAAGAAAATTATTTCGGTTTTATTTATATAGTATATAAAGATTTTGATTAAAAGAAAGCAAATTGACAGACTTCTGTCATGGTATGGAGAAAGGCCTTTTAAATTCCAGTAGTTCATCAGTGTTATTGCTAGGGCTGTACACTTTAATAATGTGACATTCTATTCCTTACAGTATCCAGTGTGAGACAAGGTAGGAAGTGGAAATACTACATTTATTATATTTATGTCAAATTTTGTTAAGCAAAGGAAATGTGAAAAGTGTGAGTAATGCTGCCTTAGTTTATATCCTATTGGGACAATGAGGGACTAATTTCACATTGAATAAAATAAGCATTTAAATTAACTGACATAATAGCATTTGAGATTCCATCATTTCATTGTAATTCATAATTTTAATCCAAGATGTCAACGAGAACTTGACTCCAAAATATATGTACTGTCATAATTAGTTACTAACCCACTCTGATATTCTTGAGAGGTCTGAGTGAATTTGGTGATACTCCTTTTAATTCAGTGGCTTCACCTTCAGAAGATCTTACAAGCTCTTCATGTTTGAAAATCACTGGAAAGGTTATCATTGACCCATTGGTTTGTCATGTTTTTGTGAGAAAAAAATGATCAAGCCCAACTTAAAAAAAGGAAATCTATTTTATAATACAAGTCAGTATTTTAACTGTAGAACTAATTTAAAATTTTAGAGTCTGCTCCAAACTCTCCAAGAATTGGAAGTCTACTGGGTTCAAAGAAAAATACAGAAACAAGTACTCTTCAAGCAATATCTAGGGTTTTGTCTGCCAGTTTGCCTGATTTGGACTCAGAGTCTTGGATGGAAGTTAAAAAGAGACATCGTCCTTCACCAGTGAAATTGCAGGTAAGTTGTTACAGACCAGGTAAAATGTGTTATACCTTGGGTGCAGTGTAAGGTCAGCATGTTTTACTGTATTTCTGAACATAATTTAAGAATATTTGACTTAGCTTTTTTGTGACTAAATTTGGAGTCCCTGGGTGCTGCTAAGGGTTAATATGCTCAGCTGCTAACTTTTCTTTAGTATCTGTTTTCATACATTTAGAAAATGTTCTTAAATTTTTTTAATTGTGATTTGGGTGAAGATTTACAGAGCAAATTCACTTTCCATACAGCAGTTCACATATACTTTGTCTCATGTCATTGACCACAGTTTACCACCATGCAACAGCCCCCCTCCCACTTCCTCCCCATAATTACCTCTTCCCAGTGTCCATCCCTGCATACTCTCCTGCCCCCTGAGCTGTCTCCCTGTGCGTAAGCAGCCCTTCTTTCTCCCATGATTATTCTCTCCAAGGCGTGTATGTTCTTAAATTTTGAAGTTACAATCTTGTCAAGTAGTTATAAGGTTCATGAGGGTACGTGTAAGGTTTATTTATATATAATAGGAAATATAGGAAAAAAAAAGAATGTAATTTTTGTGTGGGATATGTGAGGATAGAAAAAGATTATAAAAGGACAAGTGGGTATAGCTGCTGAGGCTGATTGTGTACAATCAAATGCCTCATGGGATTAAGTTCTTTGGTTTGGAGATTTAGGATCATGGTTTCATGGGAGATCCCAGTTAATTGACCTAATACATGTTTAGTATCTCTGTTCTACCTCCTAGTTCATTGCATAGTGGCGGGGGTCTTAAAAACTTGCAAATGACCGTTCATGGTACAATTGATCTCTATTCACCTGGAATAACAGGAAGGAGGAGAACCAATAATTAGAAAGAGGATATGGAATGTGTGGCTAATTGCCTCTATGAACAACTGACTCCTTTGCCACGAGACCATAAAAACTACGTGGTCCACCTCTACACTAAGTCTACTATTAACATTTGATCAAAGATTCCATAGAAGAATCCTGATCAAGAGGTAAAATGCAGAACAGAATTTCAAATTCTCGGGGACTCTAGACATTTTGGAGCCATGGAGGATTGATGAACCCCTGAAACTATTGTCCTGAATTAATCTTTAAACTGAAAACTGAACAGTAGTTTAGCTTAACTAGTGAAAGAAAGATCTATGTTAAGCATTATGCTCTATATGGGATCAAATTGACAATAGCAGCTCAAAAGATAGGACTCATAGGCTTGGGGCGGGGGGCAATGAGTTTATGTTAGTAAAGGAGGAACAACTCAGAAAAAGAAGTTAAGGATGGTTGCAAAATTTGAAGAATGTAATCAGTATCAATAAATTGTAGAAACTGAAATTGGTGTATGTTTTGCTGTGTATAATCTCATCAACAATAAAGTTTAAAGCAAAAAAAGAGGGGCATGTAGTTATAAAACTGTAATAGGTGGAATCCTTATGGTGATGGGATTGCTCTGTGTTTTCATTTTGGTTGTGGAGGCATAAACTTTCATATGTGATAAAATTACATTGATCTAAATACATGCAAACACAACTGAGTATAAGTAAAATTGGTTAAATCTGAATAATATTTGTGGATTGTATCAGTGTCAGTACGTGTTTGTGATATTATACTTTTGTTAATGCTACCATTGAGTGAAACTGGGTAAGGGGTACATAGGATCTCTGTTATTTCTTACAACTGTATGTAAATGTACAGTTAATTCAAAATAAAAATTTGAATTACAAACCTGAAGAGAATGCCAGATACTGAAATATTTCCATATATTTATTCCATATATTCAGTATTCCAAATACTGAAATTTAGCTCTATAAGGAAAAGATAAGTGAAAATATTAGGGGTTAGATGTTGAACAGATCAAGAAGGCTTATAATATTGAAGATTATTATGAACAGAGCTCTTTTATTACAGAAGATTATTATGAACAGAGCTGTTTTATTACAGAAGATTATTATGAACAGAACTCTTTTATTACAGAGCTCTTTTATTAATCTGTATTAATCTTTAATACAGATTATTTTATCTCTGTAATAAAAGGAAGAAAGAAAGCACAAAGGCTTTAAGATAGTAGTTCTTAAATTTTTTTTTAAGCAGAGATGGGAGAGGTGTTCATATTTTGCCTTCCCAGGGGACATTTGACAATGTCCGGAGACATTTTTTGGTTGTTAAAACTGTGAGAATGATACTTCATCTAGTGAGTAAAGGCCAGAGATGCTGCTAAACATCTTCCCAACAACAAAGAATTACCTAACACAAATGTCAGTATAACAGAGGTTAAGAAACCCTGTTGAAATAGAACTTAATTAACAATCATGGTTAAACATGGCATACTAAATGTCACTAAAATAGCACCCCCCGGATGGATTTAGAAGCTCTGGTGCCATAGTACCTAAGGCATTTGACTGCTAACCAGAAGGCTGGTGGTTCAAACCCACCAGCCACTCCTCGGAAGGAAGGTTGGGCAATCTTCTTCCATAGAGATACCGCCTCAGAAATCCAAAGAGGGGTTGCTGTGAGTCAAATTGACTTGACGGCAGTGAGTTTGGTTTCTTTGGTTTTGGATGCATTTTATTTTTCATTTTTGCAGTGTTCCCTCTCCTCCCTCCCACCCCTGATAACCAGGAAAGAAATTTTCCTTCCATATATAAATCTTGCTTTGACTTTTTACAATAATGAACTAATACAGTATTTGTCCTTCTGTGATTGACTTATTTCACTCAGCATAATGTCCTCCAAGTTCATCCACTTTATGTGGTGCTTTGCAAATTGTGCCTTATTCTTTAGGGTTGCATAATATTTCATTGTGTGTATGGTTATCCATTCTTCTGTTGTTGGTCACCTAGGTTGTTTCCATCTTTTTGCTGTTGTAAATAGTGCTGTGGTGAACATGGGTGTGCATATATCTGTTCTTGTCCTGGCTCTCACTTCTTTAAGATATATACCAAGTAATAGGATGGTGGATCAAATAGTATTTCTAACTTTTTAAAGAATTGCCATACTGCTTTCTGCAGTGGTTATATCATTTTATAGTCCCATCAACAATGTATGAGAGTCCTAGTCTCTCCACATCCTCATCAGCATTTGTTACTTTCTGTTTTGTTGAACTTTGCTACTAGCGCTGGGGCAAGATTATATCTCATTCTTGTTTTGATTTGCATCTCTCTGATGGCTAATGATCGTGAACATCTCTTCTTGTGTTTCTTGGCCCACTGAATGTCCTCTTTGGTGAAGTGTCTCTTCATGTCTTCGGCCCATTTTTGAATTGTTTGTCTTTTTGTTGTTGAGGTATTGGAGTTTTCTATAAGTTTTAGAGATAAGTCCCTTGTCAAATAGGTTGTTACTGAGTATTTTTTTTCCCAATCTGTGGGTTCTCGTTTTATTCTTTTGGAGAAGTCTTTGGAAGCACATAAAAATTTAATTTTTTGGAAGGTCCCATTCATCTAGTTTATCTTTTGCTGTTTGTACATTTTGGGTTGTTCTTGACAGTCTATTTATGCCATAAATTAGGGCCCCTAAATTTGCCCCTATTTTTTCCTTGAGGAACTTTATAGTTTTAGGTTTCACATTTAAGTCTTTGATTCATCTGGAGTTAATTTTTGTGTATGGTGTGAGGTACAGATCTTGTTTTATTTTTCTGCAAATGAACATCCAGTTTTGCCAGTGCCATTTGTTAAAAAAACCCTCTCTTCCCCATTTAATGGGTTTTCTGCCCTTTGTCAAAAATCAGCTGACCATAGGTTGATGGATCTATTTCTGGGTTCTTAATTCTGTTCCACTGTTCTTTTGTCTGTCATTGTACCAATACCAAGCTGTGTTTTGACTACTATGGCTGTATGTAGGTTTTGAGATCCAAGAGCGTGAGACCTACTTTGTTCTTCTTCAGTAGTGCTTTATTTATCTAAGGTCTGTTTCCTTTCCATGTAAAGTTAGTGATTGGTTTTTCCATATCCTTAAAGAATGTTGATGGGGGCTGGATTGGGATTGCATTGAATATATAGTTTACTTTGGGTAGTGTTGACATTTTCACAGTGTTCAATGAGCATGGTATGTTCTTCCATTCATGTAGATCTCTTACAGTTTTCTGAAGTAGTGTTTTGTAGTTTTCTTTGTTCAGGTGTTTTGTGTCCCTGGTAAGATTTATTCCCAAGTATTTTAGGGAGCTCTGGTAGCGTAGTACCTAAAGGTACTTGACTGTTAACCAGAAGGCTGGTGGTTCAAACCCAACAGCCACTTCTCGGAAGGAAGATGGGGCAATCTACTTCTATAGTGATACTGCTTCAGAAACGCAAGGAGGGGTCGCTATGAGTTGGGTCTGACTCGACGGCACGTAACAACAACAACAACAATTATAAGTGGTATTG